TAGTCACCCCATACCCATCCTGTGGGTGGTAGTCACCCCATACCCATCCTGTGGGCGGTAGTCACCCCATACCCATCCTGTGGGTGGTAGTCACCTCATACCCATCCTTTGGGCGGTAGTCACCCCATACCCATCCTGTGGGTGGTAGTCACCCCATACCCATCCTGTGGGTGGTAGTCACCCCATACCCATCCTTTGGGCGGTAGTCACCCCATACCCATCCTGTGGGCGGTAGTCAAAAGATTACAAAGGTACATAATGGGTCCAGGGACTTGACCCCAAAGTTATGATAGCTGAACTAGTTACAAAGGTAATGAACTCCAGGTAGATCTGGTCACAATCATGGCAAGTTACAAAGGTAATGAATCAGCTTCACTCCTATACATGGTTACAGTCATGAACAAATTACAAAGTAATGAACCACTGATACGTCCACACCTGGTCACAATTGTAATGAGTTATAAATACAAATATTAAGTGGGTCATACACCCACACGAGGGCGCACCATAGACATGTGGCTCCTCCTGCATCATAGACATGTGCCTTCTCCTGCATGATAGACATGTGGCTCCTCCTGCATGATGGAATGATGATAGATGGACTGACTTGTGTCAATCTCCCTAAGTCTTAAGTCAATAAAGTTCAATTGAAGTTCTTTTCGTATTATTGTTCTCAAACTACTAACTGACAAGCCAAGATTGTAATCTACTCCCTCTTTGAAAGCATACAGCTTAGCCAAATTATCATTTCTGTCATGCATCTGAAGACCAATGTGAGATGGAATCCACAGCATGTGCACTCTGACTCCACTGTCCACAATCTTACCATACCTGTGTCTGGCTTCTGACACAAGCATGCCACAATTTATACTTAATGAGTTGAGAGCATTTATGGATGACAGAGAATCAGTTACAATTAAAGTGTCAACCTTAGATACATGGACGCATTTGAGTGCAAGGAGCATGGAAAATAGTTCTGTTTGAAGTGTAGAGGCCCAGTTATTGATGCGTGCTCCAATTTCTTTATGAGTGCCATCACTCTGTATGACAACAGCAGCACTACCAGCTGCACCAGTGTATGACAACAGCAGCACTACCAGCTGCACCAGTGTATGACAACAGCAGCACTACCAGCTGCACCAGTGGACTGGTGAACACAACCATCAACGTAAATAATTTGTGAAAGAGTGTTCTGTGTGACTAAGTTATCAATACAGCTTAAAGCATCATGTTTGGCTTCAAGACGCTGAAGTTTTGGTTGTGACGGGAGTCATGCTGTGCTACACACTCTATGTCTCAGGGTGAGACATGTATTTTGCAGCGTGTTTGTGACGGCGGGGCTGACACATTACCAAATCACTAACCTTTGCCAAACCGCATACTTCCTGAATACTACTACAGTACAAAGGTGATGTTTAGTCAGATGATTATTGATGTGTTGGGGACGAGGATTGTTGATAATACTAAAGCATTATCAACCATCTTCATTAATATAATCGTCTCCATTCATTGGAGACATGTAAGTATAGTAAATTCTACAGAACGCTGACTCCTCTTCTCTCACACAAAAAAATAGTGTAATTCTTGGATTAAAAAAATTCTCGTTGCCATACTGAACTGCTAAACCACAATGATCTTTCTGCCACAAAAACTGTCCAACACCAGTTTTGCGGCAAGCCACAAAATAAGGTTCAATACCAACTAAATTACGCAGTGGGAAGATAGATAACGTCTTAAAATTAGGTAGTTGAAAAAAACAAGTGCAGAAACCTAGCCTATCTTGATACCGTATCAACATCTGAACCCAGAATTTCCATGTTGAAGAAGATGTCAGTAATGGTAGGTAGGACATTTCAAGAAAATATTTGGTGTTTAGGCCTATCTGGCCTCTTCACTGTCAGGCTGCCAAATGATCTTGAACGCCCCATCCTGAAGTATATTTACAAGAGGCATATTTCCAAGATGGACAACGATACTCAGTAATATTATATCATTATTTTACATGCTGTGCCACATTAATTGTGGCCTAGGTTCCATTTTTAGCCTTATGGCTCACTGCTCTCCAACATAAAATCTACGCATTTACAATAAATAGCGTGAGAATATAGTGGTTGGCTAGTTCTGTCTCTCCAGGAACACCTTCCTTCTCTGTAATATACAGTCTCTCGGTACTACCTTCACTGGTATTCTTTTATTATCTTGCAAATCTTCCAGGTCTTTACAAAATCAATACTTAGTTTATCTCCTCTACTCCCACTACTGCTCTACTCCCCACTAGTTGTTTGCTGGGGCTGTAGCTCCTGGGCCTATCTTTTAGACTACTTTGATCAACATCACAGATATCTGGTCACTTGGGCCTGATCATACCTTCTAGTGAAGCTGCGTATTTACGCTGACTCCCCCATTTACTCATCCAATTCATTCCACTCAATAAATGGTTCATTTTATTTAAATATTCAATTTTATCCAAAATAACAGCTACCTTAGATTTATCACCCCT